GGCGCGGGGACTTTTCGGACGGGCGCGGGCCCGGGGCGCGGCGACGGAGTTGCGCGGCGAGGGGAGTCGGGTGTGACCACGACTTTAGGACGCGACGCGTTCGCGGCCTTGGGCTGCTTCGGCGCCGCGGACGGTTCCACGGCGCGGGCGCGTTTTTTCCCGCGCGCGACGGTGGTGAACCCTTCCGAGGTTCCCGGTTGGGGACTCGCGGCGGACTCGTACTCCATTTCCGACTCGGAGTCGGAGCCGGAGCTTACCGCTACGGAGGACGCGATCGACGCGGGCGCGGGGGTGGGGGGCGACATCGGCGAGTCGCGAGGTACCGGCGCGGGGGGCGACAACGGAGAGTCGCGGAGTGCCGGCGCGTCAAGGCCGGCCTTGTAGGCTTCGAATCTCGTGATGATGTCCGGACAAAAATCACGGACGAACTTCAAAAAGAGCGCGCCATTGGCGTCACTCATGGTGACGTGTGCCCGGGGGGGGCGTCCCCGGGACTTAAAGCAAACTCGCCGAAAGGCGAGTCCCCTGAGTGGGATTTATACCCCCTGCGCTGTACCTGCCAGCAGTGATTTGCAGGGGGGGGATGCCTATGCCGTGAAAACGGCAGTCAGCTGGGATTGGGGTGGAGAGTTTGGGAAGGTGGGACCCCACTGGGTTGTGAGTGCCACAACAAGCGGTGATCGCAGTGGGGGTTCAGTCTTTAAAAAGACTGTTTTGCACGACGGATAGATAAATAAATTTAATAAATGGTAATGAATGAATGAATGTGAATTGGCGTTTTCGAATGCAGAACAAACGAATTCGAAATGTTTTTTCGACCCAAGGTCGCTACGCCAGCGCCCGTGCGTCAGGAATTCACAACAAAGTCGCGATCGACGCGACAGCGACAATGTCGTGTAAACCAAAACACAAGTTCGCGACGGCAGCGACAATAATTCGAGAAAACACGTCCGGACTCGACAGCGTTGCAAACGGAATTGCAGCGATGATTACAAGCAGGGCTTCTTTTAAAAGTTTTAAAATGAACTTCCTGTTTCGGCTTACTTTGTGCCGTAACACATTTCTTTCTGCAAATGAGACTTGAGAATTTCATAAAACATATGGCTATGGGCACCGTCGTGAAAACTTCCGGTTACGTGGAAACAAAACCCACGCACCGTACCAATGCGTTTACGAAATTCAACGCGAAAAATTCATTCTCTAACTTCATTACTTAAAGAAATGAAATGACCTCGGTATAACCCCCCCCATACATGAGAATCAATAATATGCTTTCGTTTCCACACGCTGTCAAATTTCTTTTTTATTTATTTAGGAGGTTAGGCATAATAATATAAGCAATACACAGCGAAAATGAGATACTTTGAGCCTAATTTATATTGAAATAACGTCTATAAGACAAGTGATTGTTTTCGCAAAAAATAGGCTGAATACAAGTCATTTATATTTGCGAATATGTTTTGAAGTTAAATTATAACAATCCTCAATAGTCTATGAACTGATAGAAGGCTCGATCTCATCTTAGAAGTTCCTTAAATACAGGTTTTTAATGAATACACTTCACATACGTTTCGCAATTAGATTCCCTATTAAAGGCAATACAGGTAGGCCGTGAAGCCTTGTTCGGACTAGGCGAGTATTTTAGTCGAGTACCGAGTAATTTAGTGGCTAAACTACTCGCTACTCGCCCGAAAAAATAGAACAAAATGGATTGACTTGACTAAATTATTTACTAACCTACTCGACTAAATTTTTGGTGCCCAGAGACATTTAGCTACTAAGTTACTCTTTTTTTTTTTTTTTTTTTATTGCCCTTGTAGGCAGACGAGCATACGGCCCACCTGATGGTGAGTGGTTACCGTTGCCCATGGACTTCAGCAATGCCAGGGGCAGAGCCAAGCCGCTGCCTACCGCTTATCGGTATCGGTCGACTAAAATACTCGCATAGTCCGAACAAGGCTTAAGCTATGATGACAAAAAAATTAGAGAGACGAGCTATACTTAACTGTAGAAGCACAAGTAATGAACAATACACGTTTCTCTTTTGTTGTAAATTACATTTATTGAACTGTAAGTTTATTGTTATTAATTGAGTGGTTCACGTGACTGTTTCGCGTGGGTTAGCTACGAAATTAATCATTTCTGGCAACAGATGTGTAGGTAGTGTTATGTATTAAAATAATAAACAATTCGTAAGTTGTAGATGATGCTATGTTTGATAATATTTAATTGTGGCAACTAATATTTAGGAATTCAAATTCTTGTTCAAAAAATATTTACAATCGAAATTAAATTTCTTTTTTCGACTTTATTAAGCCTGCCTGACTGACTTGAATTTACTACCTTAGCCATGTGACCGAAGTTCTTTGTTAGATTAGAATAACTACTATCTTGTCTTTTAAGCCGGAACGGTAAGGTTTTTTTTATACTTTACTTTCACTCGTGTGGTGTGATCAAAATTGAAATTTAAATTCTGTTTTAAAATAATACGTTACATCTTTTTAGGGTCGAGTTTATGAGCAAATTCTACATTGGAGGTGGATATCCGTTCCGACCTTTTAGTTTTGAAAACATATTGACAGCTGAAACGGAAAAATCAAAAGGAGAAAAGGGGGGGGCTACACATGACAACAGCAACAATGTTTAAATGATATTGTTTTGTGGAGAGAAAATTATTCGAACATTATTATTATTATATATTAATTAATATAATTAATTGACTATTTTTCCGTAACTTAACAATCGTATTTTATATAATTTGATTATAACACAAAAGCGTTATTGATTTATTTAGCAGTTAAGATTTTTAAATTGAGATGGAATTAGACAGGATGGCTATACCCGATTGAGCTCACGGACATAGTGCCAAAACATTTTAAATTTAAATTATCGGCTTTTATTATTCCTTCATCATAAAGTTTGGTCTGATAGGTATGTGGACAATGACTTTACCCTGTTGGCTTTGCTGAAGATCATGAACGACGGTAATTATTCACGACCAGCTGAGCCATAAGTTGGTCTGCCTACTAAGGCAATAAAGATATGTATGTATGTATGTTTCAGGTACAAAAATACTTTTTTTATGAAGTTTACCTTCAGTTTTTCTCTAACTTACGGCGTTGCGATGGCTAAAGCCTAGATTGTAAGAGGACTATGGAACTTTACCATCGGACCGAATAGTTATAGTACTTAGAACCTACATCTACAGTACCTTACCAGATATCTTTTTTACTAGTTACCACTTAGTTTTGGAATGGACTTCTCTCCACGTTGTTTCATGAGCGCTATGATATGCCCTTTTTCAAACGAGGCTTTCAGTGACTAGTCGGCTATAGTAACTTGGCCCCTGGCATTGTTGACGTCCATATGCTTATACATAGACTAGACCATACGCGGTAACAGCTCACCATTAGTTAGGCCGTATGCTCGTCTGTGTACAAGGGCAAGTCCATTGTAATAACCAATGACGAACTATTGATGAGATCCATTCCGCATTAGAGGGGGTAGGTGGTGCATGTCGGGGTTGGACCAAGTTAAGCCTCTTGTTTCTCAATAATTGATAAGGCAGAAATCATGTAAGGCAGGCTGCGGAAAAGGTGAGGACCATGGTTCGGAGTGCATATTTCCCCGTTGCCCTGGCTCACTGGATACCGAACCGGCGATCGTCGACGCCACGACTGCAATGCTCGGTGGCCTTCTATTCCAAGCCCGCCTAGACGATGTCGCCAACTCTAGTCCCCAGAATACCTCGCCGGACCAAAACCAGCATAGGTCAAGGAATGCAGCGATGAATCACCCGGATGTTCTTTCGCAAAATGCGCACAAAACAGTTTACACATTGTCTTCTTTGATGGCCCTTGGGGGCTCCCAAACTAGTAAAGAATGGGGACTTCAAACACTTACGGAGCAACATCTCTATGCCTACCCCTCATCCCCGTGGCGATAGTTTGGTGCGGAAAGAGAAACGCAAAAAAAAGCACAATAAGAACCTGTTTAGTTTATCAGCAATATTGTAGGACACTACTTTCATTAAAATTAATGGCATTAAGCTGGGTAAGTTATTCAAAATAATGAAGTCTCGAATATAATTCTAAATGGTAGAGGAGTGTCTTAACTATTCCCCTTGCACAGCTGATGTTCCAAAAGCAACGGTAAACACTATTAATTGTGCAATAAGCATAAAAGAAAAACAAAAAAATAATTGAAAGCTGAAATACGATTCGAAAGAACAAAAGCTGAAAAAATCTCGTCTTCAATAAAACGATAGGCTTCCATTCGAATGGAGTGAATGATGCCGGACAATTTGCAAAATAGATTATTGTTTTCTTTTCTCTTTTCGTGCCCGTTTATGTTGCGTAGGTAAGTGCTCACCGAGGCTTCGTTTCTTTCGTCTTATTAATTGCTAATGATTATTCAGTGTCGCCTGGAAATATTACGGCTTTATTATTCACGCGTTGTTGAAATATTGATATCATTATTGTTATAATTTCACTTTGAAACGTTTTATTTATTTAGATTCTCGATAGCGTATTTTTGTTTTGTTTTTTTAAATTTTTTTATGGGGTATTAACTTTTATGCCATTACAATATATGCAATACAATTATCGCCTTTCTAATTAGTGTGAATATGACTCTAGAATGTGGTTGTATTAAGCATTTGTGTAGTTGTATTCAAATCTGTATGCTCCATATTACCTTGCGAACATAAAGTACTTCGGACACATTCTCAGAAAAGACGGTGAATTGAAAAAGTGGTGATTACTGACAAATTGGAAGGAAAAAGATCGTTGAGTGGGGGCGCAGTTTGATCCGGACCAACGTTAATTCCACAGTCTACGATGCTCTGTGAGTAACTAAAGGCAGGATGAGACGGCACAACATAATGAAGACGGAAATCATGGATGGAAGTGGTTACCACAAACTACGCGACACGAGGAGCAAGACTGGAAGAGGCATTAAAAAATGTTCAACGAATTTAATGGAATACACGTTTATTTCTTTTTAATACGTCAATTTTCACCGCAAACAATCGCTTCGCTTGTTTTTTCTAGAAAACAAAAATAAATAAATAAACAGCGCACCTGCAGCGGCGCGGATCAAAACTTTTAATTAAAATTTCCGTATAGGTACGTTATTGTTGCCTCGTTCCGTTGTTTTAGTTTTCCTTGTTTCCGCAATCCCGAAACCATACAGTTAATTAAATATATACATTAGTTACAGTATACATTTAATAAAAACTTCTTTTACAACAATAAAATATCACTAAATACGGCTTAATTGAATCATTAAACACCATACTCGCCACATTATGTATTCTGAATACATATTTAATATATTTAATAGAAGTGAAGTGATTGAGAAATAAAACAAAACAATTTTGTGTACTCAAAAGAATGAATGATGTGACGTGAATTTTGTTAAAAATGTAGAACTATCGTATCTACGTAATACACCTACATGATTTGCATTTCCGCCAAGTAAGTACAGAGATATTTTCCTAAAATAAATAAATGGGATGTTAGTTTCGAAATCGTAGAAAAAACATAGAAATACTCAAATGCGGTTAGTAGAATAATAATTAGTTTTCAATTCACTTCAGATTCAGCACCGGGCCAGCGTGTATCATTTGCGAAAATTTAATCGATATCTCAGCGACAATGTTTTTTTATTTATAGTATCGCTCTTATTCTTTCTCCTTCAGTTTGCTGACATTGCTTTTAGTGGAAACAGCAGACTTTCGGCTGACCAAAGACTTTGTGTCCGCCCTTTCGCTATCCACGCCAACATCTTCAGACACATCTTCCAGAGAAATATTAGGTGTCGCCGTCACGTTCTTATTACTGAAACTTGTTTCTCTCGGAAGATAAATACCGAAACGGTCCTGAAATTTTTAAGCGAAACTAATCGAATAAACACTTTAAAATGACGGGCTCAGATGTCAATTTACATTATCAGTTTTGTGTTTGTAGAAACAACGTTTTGTTGATTCGTTTCGAGGTCATTTAGCATAGTTCGTGAAAAAAAAGTAACATTATATTTCAATGAGAACTGGGTGGGTTGGGTGAACTATCACGATGCAATGTAAATATTTTGTGAAGTACCCACTGTGGGCAATCGCTAACGTACTTCAGGCTGCCACGATAGAAAACGTGTATCTGACAACAAACAAATGTAAACAGGACTGGCACATGCCCAGCGACTATGAATAAGAGGCGCGATTTATCACAATGAGCAATGAGCATATTACGTATTACAACTATTGTTTTCTAAGTGCAATTTTTTTATTAGGTACTAGCGGCCCGCTCCGGCTCCGCTCGGGTCTTTAACAAAAGGTTCAAAGATATATTTTGACGTAGTTTTATTTTTTTAAATAATATAACACTTATTGCGGCATAACTATAATAGTCAGACATATGCTGTCGCGACACTTTTTGTAAATAATAATGTGCTCTACAAAGTCATAGCACATTATTATATTCTATCATCAACAGTTTTCGAAACTTCCAAGCAAACAGTGAAAGAATTTCAAATTGGTTCAGTAGATTCGGAGCCTATTCAATGCAAACAAACAAACAAATCTTTCCTTTTTATAATATTAGTATAGATATTAAAGTACCTTCTAGTAGGTACCAACAGTTATTTTATGATAGCACATCGTGATACGTTGCTTTAATTTCTGTCAATTTCAGTTATTTAGAAAATGCTTTCAGCTAAAAGACCGCTCATTGAATTTTATGTCCAAACCATATTGTTTCTAGTGTATTATTTTTGGGTTCAACGTACTCGACGCTCGCTAATGCTCTCGCACCGAAATGGTACATGGGAGTTTAAAAACGAAAAGGTAATATGTATTAAGGTATTTAAAAAAGAAAACATGCCTTAGGATACCGATTGTAGTTGTTCTGCGGATGACAAACGCAACATTTCGGCATTGGTTTCTTGTAGCTCTCGTGGGAAGAAATTTGACTCTTTGGCGTTGGGGGAGTTTCGTAACCTACATTTAAAAAATAATTGGTACAAACATTTTTCAATTCTTCATGTCAGCCTATAGCGGTCCATTGTTGAACATAGGCTTCTATGATCGGTCTCGAGTGCGGCCAGTCTAACGTGACCCAGAGATTTTCATTAGGTCGTCAGTTCATTTGAAAGGTGGCCGTCCCATACTGCGTTGGTCCCCACTCAAGAATTTTCTGCCCATCAGCCGTCCGATCTTCGCGCTATGTGACCTGTCCATTCTAAGGCATGTTATTTTTAAATGAAAATACTTTGCAGTAAAATTATTTCGTAAGATCGTGACTCTTCAAGACTTAGGTTAGAATATCTAAGTTTTCGGCTTTATACTACAATCATGATTCGTAAATAGATTCGTGATAGAATTAATGTTTTTATTTGCATTAAGCTTTTTAACTAACTTTTAAAAAAAAAAAAAAAAAAGTGATGAATGTCAATAAATTGGCAATTAAGAAACGACGCTGATCAAAATTTGTTTTAGATTTCAAACATAAGGTATGTACTTGTTTTTAATTAGTAGTTGCCTGTATAGATATCGATAAACATTTTGAGCAAGCGACATTATTAGGCATACCTTTGAAATTCATTTGACGTCGCAATGTTTTCTTAAGCTTTTTCCTCATTCTCTTCTCCCAAGCAATTTCGGCAGCTAAAAAAATTGTAATAGTTAAATCGGCGTTAGAAGCACACGGGGTAGTTTGTGGCATTCAATATTTTCTCGTTTCCTTCGAAGCATAGATAGTATGGTGGGGACATTTTGCTTGTACAAGATTTGTCCATAGAAATCTCTAGTAAGATTATTACCCCTTTGCGGTTCAATGACTAATGTAACGTAACACCATATGTCCAATAGGCGTGATCTCTGGGCCTCAAAGGGTTAATATAGGAAGCATTATTTTCGTAAGCAAGTTGTCTTTGTTTTTATAATCTGTGGCGCGGGAAAGCGCGGCGTGAATTTATGAGAATTGTTTGATTTTGTAAATTTTGTGTTTCTTTATATGCAATCGTGCAGTGATGGTTGTTTATTAACAGTCTACCATCTACAAAAGTTTATAAATGTGGAAAAATAAAACAAAGCTGCTGAACGTAATTTCTCGGGTTATTCGAAAAAGTCTCTTTAAATAACCACAATTTTACTAAGACTTATTTCATCACATCTAATCTCATTTCATGTAATTTCATCCGAATTGATTAAAGTCTCAAATTAATTAGCTTCCTCTCATTTCGCTTCATATCATTTTTCATATAACAGAAGGTAAGAAAAAATAAGACTTAGCTTAAAGGTCTCGTTACCAAGCCATAGAAACTTTAAACTTAGAAAATCTGCAATCTTAACAATATTTGTTATACGAATCAATGGAGAAATGTCAAAGGTCATTTGTCAAATTGTCAAACGTTTGTGTGAAAATATTGCTATTTTGAAAGAAACTGCTGGCGATTTTATCACCTCCCGAATTCGTGATGGAAGCGTCAGACATGAAAGATCAACTTCTATGCACGTGGGAACCATCCATTACATTCGAATGATGATAAATCCGTTGCATTTAAACTATAAATAATTTAAACTATGCAATGTGTAATTGGATAAATTATAATAACATATTTTTAATGCATTATCTTTCTGCATCAAGATCTCTCTCTGACTGACATATGAATAATATGTTTTTTTTTTGGACCGAAAAATTAATTGTTGCTTCAAAGACCTTTTTAGCTTCACACTAATTAATATAATACAATAAATGAGACTAATTAATGAGCACGAGCTCAGCCGTGTTGTATCATGTATTAATTAAGGGAAAAACATGTTTCTAATCCATTTACGACTTGTGAAAACTAGATAATAATAATATTCTTTCAAAATCCATTAAAAAATAACATAAAATTTCCTTTCCTATTCGTACACTCTTGGCAGAGTGGTCGTGGTCATGCATCAGTCAGATCCTGCGATACCAATGCTCTCGCGATGCGACGCCATGTGGCACGATGTTTCGCAGAGTGAGAGCAAACATTTATGTTGGAGTGAGTAACAGATTTTATGAGGTCGGTCCATCGTGTTGGAGATCGTCCGCGAGATCTTTTGCCCTCGACTTTCCCTTGCACCACCAACCGCTCAATGGAATCCTCATTACGAGTGATGTGCCCGAAGAACTTGAGGATTNATGCTCTCGCGATGCGACGCCATGTGGCACGATGTTTCGCAGAGTGAGAGCAAACATTTATGTTGGAGTGAGTAACAGATTTTATGAGGTCGGTCCATCGTGTTGGAGATCGTCCGCGAGATCTTTTGCCCTCGACTTTCCCTTGCACCACCAACCGCTCAATGGAATCCTCATTACGAGTGATGTGCCCGAAGAACTTGAGGATTCGTAATTGGACTGTTGACGATAGTCTCTCCTTGATGTTGAGCTCTTTCAGGATCGAAATGTTGGTATGGTGCGCGGTCCACGGAATTCTGAGGAGACATAAAATTTAGATTGAACCTAAAGGCGACTTACCAATTCTTTCTTTCTCCATAATATTAAGTTCGAACATCTTATAAGAGTTATATAGTAATTCTGCTATGTCCTCTCTTATTTCAATGACCGGAATCTCCATAGCTTGTTCAACTACTTTTTGGAGCTCTACGTAGGCTGTGTCAAATTTGAGTGTAGCCGCGTCTACGTTTTGGTACACTGCTTTATCGACTGTACCTAATATAGTGTTGTAGAAAATCTGCGATAGCGTCAATTCTGGTTGTGCTTCTGGTTCTGAGAAAATAAAGTTGATCGTTTACATTAGTAGTTAATTTTCGAATAAAAAAATTTCTACCCGCGTTTTCAAGCACCTTAAATTCGATTTAATAAAATAGATGATATTACATATAACGCTAATTAAAAAAATATTTGTTCTATAATACAATTTAAAAACATATGACAATATCAATTTAACTCCAAAATTCATATCATATATTCCCGAATTTAAAATTTCAAGGTCCACTTATTGAGGCTCTCACTCGTCCCGGTGGTTTTTCGTTGCGATATTTATGCTATATTTGCGTTGTGTATTATTTTTGTATTCATTGTACATTGGATTGATCGGAAACAACGCAGTTGTCGTCATAGACAATACACATAAATTAGTTATACATAAGCAACTTAAGCAATCAAGAAAAATGTTTACGGGCGTCGGCCACTAGATGGCTTCGCTTCGATTAGTTTCCCATTGCTCCTGTAGATGGCAGTAACATAATGCCTATCATATTTTTTATTTTTAAATGAAGGATTTTGTAAATTTTCAGAAACCACAAATTGATAAGCTTTAATCAATTTGTCTATAACAAATAAAGACTTGTATGATTTATTATTTTTTCTATTTTCTGAGTTTAGTTATACAATAATGAAATGCCTTAACTTTGACAATGTATAAGTTTAGGGGCATTCGCTACAAGATGTCGCTAGCATTCATACAAAAAAATATGTCTTAATAAAGTATCGCAGTTTCAGGGCCTTGGTTGTCGTGAGCGCTTGCGCAAAAGTTTTTGAGGCTATATCAACGAGTATGTTTTTAACGTACGAACGCATTCGAGAAATGTAATGAGTATGTTTAATCTCATTTAGCGTAAGCTGCTATTCAACTCTATCTACAAAAAAATCATATTAGTTTTCTAGTTAAGTTTCAAATTTGAATTCTAGAATTTCTTCATCGATTGAACCAAGATCTATAAAAATACATTACGATTGTTCGAATAATATACAATCGGGAGCGTTATGCGTTCTTCTCTTACAATCAAGCAAAGCTTATTTGATTATTTTTCTTTGAATTTATTTACTAGAAAGTTAATATGGTGACTTTGAAATAGTATACGCAAAAAATATTTATAACCACAACTGTCCCTTCTTCTTATTTGTAGTACATGTGAGATTACAGTTTAAGGCTTAAAGTGGTTCTGTACGATTTGCGTGGATGCAATGTACCAAATCTAATGTCAGGCCTATACCTGGAGTTGGTAACGTAGTTTCCGAAGTCACACAAGATAAAAATGAAGATGATAAAGTGGCAGGTGTTGTAGATATCGGGGATGGTATTGTCCACGGCTCCGGTGGGTAATGCTCCCTTATAATATTCTGCAAGTCCGACTTGAGTTCATAATCCTCATAATACATTGTTGGTTGGTTTAACTAAAACATAAATAAATACGTTGTCGTTTTTAAATATAATAATATATTCTCATTAATGGACCGGATGTTCTCTTCCAAGCTAAGGACATTTAAGCCCACGCTACATATATTTACGCCCTGATTGTCACAGCTAAGTTATTTATAATTTTTTTTATATATTTCCCTTAATGATATTACATTTACACGATTTTTTTCAACATATTTTTGGTTAATCGAGCTCACGGTTCATCCAGTGTTAAATGTTCTTCCAGAACTCATAGACAAAACATGAGAATGCAGAAGAAGGAGCGGCCCCAGGCCCTGATGGTATCTACAGCCGTATCTGATATTTAGCCTTCGGTGTCTTTGGGAACTACCCAGTGACAACGTCGCGATGTTGCCACGTACGCAGTGCGCAATCGCGGTCAGGGCGGTCTGCGGTTACAGCACTGAGTGAATCGCGACCGAAGACGTCTTAGCTACTGGACGACATAAGTGCTGACGAGGCTGTGTCAGCCGCCACGGCTGCGTTTCTAGGTGTGATCCACGTTACAGTTGTCGCCCGATGTACTGTAGAAAAGTACCTCGATGGCTGTGTATCAACCGGGCAGGCTCTTTCTGACCCAACAGATTAACCCGGAAAAGCGGCGGCAACGGGTGCGGTGCCGCCCCTCACTGGGCGCCATACCGCGGGGTCCAACGTCGTTGGTCATTTATGATCATTTCGACAACCCGTATCCGTACCTTTACATACCCGAGTAGAGTCCTAAGACATCCTAGGGCCGACGGTTCGCTCCTAATGTCTGCGGACTGTCAAGACGCACATTCTATGCGATTAAATATCAAATCTATGAGATTCGACACCCTGCCAGGAAAACCGAAAAATCTTTGGATTATAAAATTGAAACTTAGATCTCATGTCTCAAGGTGGGTGGCGGCATTTACGTTATAGATGTCAATGGGCTCCGGTAACCACTTAACACCAGGTGGGCTGTGAGCTCGTCTACTAATCTGTGCGATAAAAAAACACCGTTGTTCATTTAATGAGAACATTTTTAAAGTTTCCGTTTTAAAAATCGGTAGTTCTTTGGATTATTTAGTTGCCCGATACGAGACGCGGAGGCTCTTCTCACTTAGGTCACGACGACTTTAAATAGGGGTTAACTAAATAATTCTAGTTCAATTTTAATCAAAATATGTAAGTTTCTGTAGCTAAGATTTTTTCCGTGATTAATTTCGTGGTTTTTTTATACCTTAATGTCTGAAGCGTCAACCGGCAAGCCCAGAAATTCCTTGATCTCACACTCTAGCTCATCCACAGTTCTAGTAAAATATTGAGCAGCTTCCTTTAATATGTCCTTTTTTTTCGATTGTTGCACCATTTTACAGACGAAGCCTTCAAGCATCGCTTTCACCTAAAATATGATTTCTGCTTAGAGTTTAGCTAGAATTATTAAAATATTTAATTAAGACATTTTGCTGATGATAGTAGATCAGCTTGCAGATCACTAAAAGATCGTGGTAAGGAAAACATATTGCGCCTGCGGGAAATTAAAACCAGATGTTTCAGAGCTTTAGTATTACCATAGACCTATAAACCTTACTTCATTGAGTATTACGGAACTTTTGACATATTTATTCTGAAGTTTATTTTTAAAGTTGCCAATTTTAGGTAGTAAGCGGAGCCTATGGAAAAATAGCAACATGAATTTCAACACATTCAGATATGAACTATTTCACTGGGTTCCTAATTTATTGTATTTTTAATATTGTATTTATTTGTATAATTTAATAATATTGTATTTTTTTAAAGAACCAATAGATCAATAATCTCTAGGACTCTTAATAAGTTAATGAACTCCATTACATTAATACAACCATATTGCAGGCGCTTTGAACAACGGCTGTCTTAATACTTCAAACAGAAGTACTACCGAATTGAAATGCGCCTTGTATTACCACTAGCAATTTTCGAGTGGTAAGATTCATAGCTTGAAACACAAATCTCGTGCACATTACAGCCTCCACCAATTGAAGCTAAGAAAAAAATCTGCTTTATTTAATTTAGTTATTTTATTGACAACATCATCCTTAGTCTACAGACATGTACTGCTGGATATAGACGTGCTAGCCACGTCCAGAAGATTCCCGGAAACTTCAACTTTTGGCTAGGAGGTGCTGTTTATTAATGAAGAGATTTAAATTTACTGTTATGAATCGTAGCTTTAAGTGTTTAAGACGCTACCTCTGGATGATTGATCAAATAAGCTTCTTGTTCCAGTTGAATTGTCTTTCCTAGTCTCCTGATACACTCACTCTGGCAGGCAGTAATAGCATTTACGTTTTGATGGAACAAGCCACGAGCAGGCAATCGGTCCGTATTTTGACCCTTCATAACACGTTTGAAAGACATTTTTGAACCAAAATTGGAGGAGATTTCGCAACGTTTTTTTCCAGTGGAATTGATTAATTTATTGTCAATATGATTTGTTGGTTTCCATAGTAATCCGGCTGTGACTTTCTGCTCTATGGGTTGCGACAGTGACTTTGTTAAAATTATTCAGAGCGGATATAACCATAGATTTCATACTTGAGTGGATATAATAAACTTAATATGTACCATAATAATCCATGTATAGTGTATTATCTATGGTTGGGCCAAAGACAAGCCAATTACACGAATGTCGGCAATACAAAAGCTTTCAATAATAATTATACATATATGTATGAAGCTCCATGTTTAGTTCTTTCGTTATTATAGTACTATTGCTTAGATTTTTTCAGATTTTGTGCGTCACTTAATGTCGGTAAAAAAATGAATTTGATTATAAGGCTTAGTTACTTTCTGCTAAAAATCTGTCGTCAACTAAAATATGTTAAAGTCATAGTAAAATTGTGTTGTGCGAATGAACGGTACAGTGTCAATGACGCTGTTGCCGTTAGACAAAGCCTATTTTTTTACCATTTGATCATTGAATTGATTTAATAAATGCCTTTGACAAAATCTTGCTCATTATTTTTCCAACAACCCACGCAACTCCACAAGATTCGCGAAATCAATTTAGCGAAATGGATTTTTCTCGCACAAGATGCTTGTTTTAAAATAAGATGTTTTCCTATGGTTTTTTTCCATCTCATGAAAAAAATTGCTGGCACCGTTTTCATATTTTGTTCTCTTTAAGCTTAAACCAAAAAAATCCGTTAAACCACACTGTATTAAGGACTATTATTATTATTGTATTAAGGAATGGCGACGTCTGGTGAAGCGCACCACCAACCGAAGTGATGACCACGACCACCCTGCCAAGAGTGCATACGACCAAGAAGAATTAAGGACTAGATGCGGAACATAATATACACTTATATTATGTTATATATATAAGATTATCTATTATCCTTCTTCTTAAAACAAAACACTATGTGATTCATCTAAAACAGAGTTTTATTTATTAAATACAGTTAAACTTTTACTTAACAAATATCAACTAATGAAATAACTATGTACTAACCTAAAACAGAGAATCGACAATTAAATGTTCATGCTTTACTGTTCTTATATTCAAATTTGAATCGTCCTTTTTACTTTTATAATTAAGCTAATTCACANACAAAACACTATGTGATTCATCTAAAACAGAGTTTTATTTATTAAATACAGTTAAACTTTTACTTAACAAATATCAACTAATGAAATAACTATGTACTAACCTAAAACAGAGAATCGACAATTAAATGTTCATGCTTTACTGTTCTTATATTCAAATTTGAATCGTCCTTTTTACTTTTATAATTAAGCTAATTCACAATCAGTTTTATTAAAAAATGGTTGAATGTTTTTCTGATACCTACCTACATACCCAAATATTAATGGTTCTGTCAACGTCAACGTCAACACAAAGCTTACATATATATTATGCACAATATACCCTTGCGCGTGAAAAGCTGATTTTAAAATGGTACTCTAGTTTTATTAAAAGTGTTGGAGTTTGAATATAAATGTAATGGCAGGCAACACTTGACACATGATTACAGATTTCGAATATTAGAATTTTTTTAAATGTTTAAAAAACAGATGATTGTCTTCTCCTAAGAAAAGTCAAGACCTCTCATCTAGACACGGTCAGAGTAACATGTAAGAGTTTTATAAAAATATAAAGATAATAATTTTATAATGGTGTAACAGTGTTCAAACTATCTGCAATATAATTATAATGAAGCAGTGTGTTTTTAAATAGCCCCTCATCATCTACAGAACCTAATCCCCTCAAATTTAACCGTCCAACAAAAATAAACTAATTAAGGATTCACATTTTATTGCCCTAGATCGAAGATCAGCTCACAGTATCTGGTGTTAAGTAGTTAAAGGAACACACGGATATCAGAACGAATGAATTAATAGTGCTGACCTTGGGGTATGAGTTTGAAATTTTAATTGCAAGTAAAGTAAAAACTGTCGCACCTTTCAAATCGAAACATAGAATTGGTCGCATAATTCGCTATCGATTTTCGGTGCACCACACGATACTTTTTTTGTTCCAATTATTGATTAATATTTTTTTTATTATTATTTAAGATTATAAAACACCTTTCTAGCATGGGTGTTTGAAATATAGAAAAGATTAAAAAAACTAGATCTGGCTTGGGACGTAAAAAAATGTGGTAGTTAGTGCCAAGACAAAATTACCATGCCAAGTATTCTTACTTAAACACTTATTACTGTTGTTCAAAATTATCATAGTTATAATAACTAGTCTGGCCATAAATACTGTTACATAAAAAAAAATAACGTTTTAATTCTTTTGAATTTAGAAAACGTATATTATTTTAAAAAATTCTTTCGTATTTGCACCGTTTCACTTTTTTTTTTCGTGTTCATTATCAAAATACAATATGGAATGGAGTGTTAAAGATAGTAGGATTGCAGTGATCGCCTTGCACAAGGTGGGTATGGAGCCGTCGGTCATATTTCAGACATTTCAAAAGCTTGGTATCAGCCGTTTGTTCATATATCGTACTATCAACAGATACAACATTTCCTATGTCGAAGACCAGAAAAGATCGAGACGGCCGCGTGCTGTTAGAGCTACAAAGGCTAATAATACTGTTACGGTCAGTTTTAGAGGACATGGCCTGCGCTAAATGACACGGCGACATTGAGTCTCTTAAAAAATCTTTGGAGCAAGCAGTGGTGAAATTTCCTTCAAAAACAGTACCTACGTAAATCCATAGATTCGTGGCCAAGCAGATGAAAGGCCTGTACAAAAGCCAAAGGTGGCCATTTCGAATAGAATATTTTTCTATTTTTTGCAGAGTATAATATATATTATGTACGTATAAATTTTAATAATATTACCTTACTGCATTAAAAATAATGAATTTTCATTTGTAACAGAACTTATGGCTGGACTAGGTACTATAATAATAGAGAAAACGAGCGCTCTTACAAATCTAATTTTAGTGGTTTCGGTGATATTTCGATTCCCCCATATTTTGACGATTCCATGGAGCGTCCTGTGGTGCAAGGCATGTGGTACAGGACCGCGCGGCTGCTAATACAGCGAGCCCGCAGCCGCTATCAGTCGGGGACCCAACTTCTCGAAGTGAAAGCGAAAGGTCCAACGAACATTAGTACCAGACCGAGGTACTGCAATCCGGTCACCCCGACGTCGGCACGGACATTCGACCTAAGGCTTACTCCATAGCATACAGGTAATTCCAAGAACACCGAAGGCTATATAAATCTTAGACTCGACCGTGAAAACCATCAGGGCCTGGGGGCCGCGAACTTCCTTTGAATTCTAGACACGACCAAACGAATGGCAAAAGAAAATGTACAAAATTGGAGGATGTCTGATTGAGAATGTAGCTAAAAACGGAGAGTTATAGTCAAAAATCGAAATTAAAAAAATATATTTATCAATACTAGGTTTGACCACACACTACAACCAACCTAATCGGCTTTTGTTTTACAATCAAGCTAATGGATTGCACTGTCTAGGTTAAAATGTTCAATGACAACAATATCAGGTTCCGATATTAGTTATTATTTCACTAAGCTTTAAGGGGCAATACAAATCGAACCTAAACAATGAATGTCGTTCTATACGATTCTCCCCCACGGCTTAACATCAAAATCATTGGGTATTATAAATCATATAACTAGCACCCTAAAAATTCTAACCGTTACTTTGTACCCACATGATGGAGGGTGAAATTATCCATATAAAAAAAACCATTTCTTAATGCGAAATATTTTTGTGGATGAAAAATAAATGGTGCGGTGAAATTAGTTTTATATTAGTTCTATAATTCATGTTTTAGTGCCAATATAGCTTTATTTATACAATTCGTAATATTGAATTGGAATTAGAATAGACATGGTGTTTAAAATTTTACAAAACTCAACTTATTTTGCTTCGCTTTTCATAAAATTGCAATATTTAAACAATAAGCGGGAAACAATAATAGTTAATAAGAATGCGATCTGGATAGGGCCTGGACCAGACCGAACGAACTTTTCTACTCACATTTGATATTTTTCAGCTAATTTGCTTCCTAGACATTGCTAATTAAGGGAATATTATCATTTAGATTTTGTACTGAAATACAAAATTCAAAGTCTAATAATAGTTTATTATTTTCTGGATGTTAAAAGCTTAGTAAAATTAATGTGTACAGTTCGCCAGGGCTTCAAAAAATATGATAATATTTTCAAAGCTTTCTTCAAGCTATTAACTAAAGCGATGACTGCATGTAAACACTACAGTCGATTGAAACTAAAACTAAGTTTTAAAATTAACTTGCAAGTTTGTTGTTTTTGTATATCAGGCTCTTGAACTGCTATAACTTAAGCTTTCTTAGCTACGAAGTTCCTAGCACTGAAATGTACGTTAATTAACTATATGGAGAGCTTTATTTTTTTTATTATATCGCTGAGCTCGATCGTCAATCTAGGTCATCGGCAAATCACTCTTTAAGTAATTGAATAAGCGAGCACGCGCCACACAAGTTCATATATAGTTATATATATATTATTTTTTCTTTCTAGTCATAATTACAATTTTAAGCAGTTATCACTGATGTCATTAACGGTATGAAAGCATGAACGATAAAAACACATCTAAAGGTCTAATTATAAAAACCACGTATGCAATAAACACAGGATGTGGGTAGCCTTCTTCGAAGTTTAAAAGATTTTCGTGTTGATATTTTATGTAACCGAGAATCTAATGACTAATCCCTGTGTATTAGAATGAACTAATGATCAGCTGATTTTGATTTTTTTAATATTGCATCCGATTTTAAAAAAATACACTACAAAATTTGGACATGATTTTTTTAAGATAAATCTTCAGCACGGTCTCCTAACGGAAACACAAGGATTGATCTTATGTGAATTGGTTTTATTCTGTT